GAACTCTACAAACCTTATTTAGAAAATAAACTTTTTTTTAACAACCTATTTTCGGAAATTATTTTAGAGAAATGAAACAAAGTCATACATGACCTTTCAAACCAAAAAGCTGCAGACCTATTAGAAACAAACTATGAACTTCTAAAATATCTAAACTCCAAAGCCCAAAATATTATTTGACTATTTCTAACAAAATGTCTTTCATTACAACAAATACCAATAATATGAAAAACATCTAACATTTTTCTAATACTAAAAAAAACTACATAGAACTTTAGTTTAAATCAAGTCAGACCAATTTCTCCTATTGAACCTATCAAAAAATGTCTTACAAAAATTTTTATTACATGCCTCAATCAAATTATTAATCAACATCACCTACTAAATGATCTTAATTTTGCAGCAACCAAAAACAGTTCTATATACATTCCTATATAAATATTAATTAATACAATAAAATATTACAAAACTAACAACAAAGAAGCATAGATACTCTTTCAAGACATATTTAAAGCTTTTAATAAAATTAATATTAAATGCTTACTAGATGTTTGCAAATATATTAGCACTTCCTAATTTGAACTTAACTTTATCGAATACCTATACCAAGATAGAAAAGTCAGAGCAATTACAACCTATAGCTTTACTGACCTAATCATATTTTATTTAGACATAGAACAAGGAAAAACCTACTTTCCATTACTTCAGAAAATCTATTATGATTCTATTCTTAGTTATATTAACTTAAAATATAGCTCAAAACTTCTCAAAATATCATCACAATTCTCCTTAGAAACAATCTTCTCAATTACACCAACTTATATCACAATACCACTTCTTGTATTTATAGATAATACAGTCTGGCACTGTGAATCTAACAATGATCTGTAAGAGATCCTAGATAACATATTTGAACTATATTAACTAAACAATATTCAAGTTAACCCATCCAAATCAGACCTTATTCACATTCCACCTAACAAAAAAATATTATTCAATAATATTTCAAATATAACATCTCTAAATTTTAACAATCAACCAATTTTACCTTGCAAATCTAATAAAATAATAAGATATCTAGTAATTTTTTTAGATAACAAAGGCTTAACTAAACCCATACTTGAAAAAATTTTTAGCAAAACTTCTCAGTTTATTCATACTATTCAATACAAAAAACTTTTTCCTATACAAATATCTTGACTGTTTAATACTATCTTATTATCATCAATTGAATATCAATTTCAAATATATTCTTCTTCACAAAACAAACTCTAACAACTATCAAGTCTTCTAACAAAATGCACTAAACATATGTTATACCTATCTACTAATACAAACAATAATATACTTATCAATCCACAAATACTAAACATTTTAACATTTAACAAACTTATACTACAAGTTAGTAACAGTAACATAGAAAGATGCTTCAATACTAACATATTTCTAAATCAAAATTCTATATAGTAGGTTAAGAATTGGCTTTTTAAAATATAGAAACCATCTCTAACCCAGAATACAATTCTAACCAACTATAGGAAATCTACTAACTACACTATAAAATCTTAACTCTATCATTTATACAAAAATAATATCACTATTAACAACATCTACCTAAATTAATTAACAACTTACAAACACACTAACCAACTGAACAATATTTATAATTTTATTACAACTTCTAACAACTTAACAACTCTAAGTCTTAAAAACAATAGAATTCTTTTCTTAGAACAATTACTCACAGCTAATAATCTTAACCTCCTTCTTTGAAAAAATATATCTCTCAGAACTCTTAAATCTCTATAAGGTTCTATCTCAAAATGATTTAAAATACTTTCAAACCAAATATCTGATTATTCTATTTTGTACATATGGCTTAATCTTCAACTTTAACCTACTAATCCTTTTTTAAATACATTAAATCTTATTACATCCCAATTTGTTATCTCAAAAAATACATAGTCATTTTATATTTTATCTTCAGATTGGCATATTAGCAAAATAACCAATATATCTAACTCTTAAGTACTATTTCAAAAATATCAAATTACAAACTCAACAACTAACACAATTTATATTTTTCCTACATCAACAATGCTTCAAATAAATTATAAACAAATCATTAATCTTAAATACAAAACACAAAAAAGAAAACAAAACTTTGAACTCAATATAAACAACCAAAAAATTAAAGCACTTAAAAACATTCATGCAGACCTATATAAACCAGCTTCAAAATCTCTACTATCACTTTTATTACCCTTCTCAAAAATCCTCCTAATATAAAACATAATATCTGACCTTATATACCAAAACCAACTCATATTCTAAACTACTTAACTAAACTTAAAAAAATATAAATTATATTATGTACAAAATTAAATCATATTCAAATAACACTTTATATAATCTTGCTAATACTTTAGCTAAACAAGTGCAAAAAAAACAGAACTAAAATATAACCTTGATAATTTTTATTTACCTACTTTCTTTACTTGGAAAGAAATACCAATTATATACAAACTTCATAAATTTGCAAAACCTCTTTTCTATTTAAACATTTAACAAACTTCTTCAACTTAAACCATTATAAAATCTTTCTACTATAAACATTCTACTATTTACTGAAATCATTAACTCACAAAATTTTAATTTGAAACTTTATTCAATTAGGAATAAAATCCTTCTTAATAACCTGCCAACAATGTCAAATTTAAACATTCACTATTTTCTACTCTACTTAACTCCAAATTGTTCCTATTGTAATTAATATAAAAACACTAAACATTTACTTTAATGCTTACTTTATATTTACAATCTACAAAACATTCTTATTAATGAAACTACAAACATTTTGAGCTCTTTAAATTTCTCAGAAGTTTCACCATATACTATAATTCAAATCCTCAATTTACAAAATCTTTCTCTAAATCTTATTATATATAACACAATACTTTTACTTATTCAAGGTACAATAATATTTGACCAATATAAATAACTTCAATAAATTCTAAAAAAACTAATTAATAACTTTTTTATCTCTTTATCTAACTTTCTACTCAACTGGTTTAATCTTATTATCTGGCAAACTTGTAATATTAAACAACATGAATAGAAATTAGTATAAGAAATTACTATTCTTATTAAAAGAAAAAACAATGTCTGATTACCTATTATACAATCTCCTAACTCCAATAACAATATATTCACATTTAATACCAATATAGACCAATTTATTCTTAAAACATTTTTTTAAAATTTTATTATATATATTTGATTTTATTAATTAAAATAATTTTAAGAATTTCTTTTATCCTTCTCTGTAATTAATAATTATAATAGTAGATTTAACTAAAACAGAAAATTAAAGATTAATATCATGCTAGATGTTATTATATATATAGTAATAATAGTGTAATTTAAGAATATTTTATTTATATATTTATATTCAATTAATATATCCATGTATTACTATTTTTCCTATTTGATATTATATAAATAAATAAATAAATAAATAAATAAATAAATAAATAAATAAAAAAAAAAAAAAAAAGATTATGACCAAAAAGACAAGTAAGGGCAGTACATAGCTAAATTGTTAAATATTTCAAAAAGAACCTCAGAAGTGCTTCTGTTATGATGTCTAAAAAACAAAGATATAAAAGCAGTATATATCTCATGTAACAGAAATAGAAATTAAAAAAAGTTTGTAATAATTATTTTTACAAATGCTCTAGCAGTAGAAGAAGTCCAAACAATACCAATATAGTACAATAACTATTAAATAAGTTGAAAAAATCCTAGAAAAAAGAAAGTACAAAAAAGAGATAAGTTAAGGAGCAGAAAACAAAAAAGATCAAAAATAGATAGCAAATAATAAGAAGTATTAAGAATTAGAAATATAATGCAAGAAAAGCTAAGTAAAAAATATGATGAAATAGGTTTAGACTCTCAGATACAAAATATAGAAAAATGGTTAGAAAACAGAAATGCCAATATAAAAATAAAAGAAGATAATTTAAAGAAAAGAAAAACCAAAGCAGTTCTGTAAGATTAAGTAAGAACAGTACAAATAGAAGATGTTTTGTATCAAATTTTGAATAGACTAAACAAAATAGAAAAAATACAGTTAGATACAAGAAGTGATCTAACTGATTACTTTTAAAGATGCTATAGTTGAACTAATGAATATAGACAAAGAGATTAAAGAGTTTTTGTGAATTGAAAGAAAGATGTTTAAAGAAAGAAGAAAAATAAAAACTTCTTATCAAGAAAAAGGAATATATAATATAGAGAAAAAAAACCTAAAAATATAAAGACAAAACAAAGATCACTAAAAGAAAGATAAAAAGAGAATAAAAAAAAAATAAAACTAACATGTCACAATATGAATAGACTTAAAACCAAAAATTGGAAATTGGAAAATCTGTTTAGCTAGGCAGAAGAAGAGAAAATTACAATACTAGAAATTATAAAAATAGAAGCCTGCATTGGGTCTCGCAGTCTGACCTGCAAATTTTTGCAAGCTAGACCAGGCCTGAAGCAAAATTTTAAACATTGAATTTACTAATCAAATTAAAATTTTTTTTAAAAAATAAAAAGAATATTGACTTTTACGATTATATAAATTTCAATTTTTTATATGTTTTACTATAAAAATGATCATTGGGCGTTACTTTTGTTGGCTACTGTACTTCGTGATGCACATAACAATTTATGAAATGATCGAAATTAAGGAACACGTGAAGTTGATCTTTTATGAACATGATGGTGCGCAGTACAAATGTAATACAAATAAGACTAAATTAATTGTTGTGGAACATAACTTGAGATCCCCTGCAATGCTGGAATAAATATTAATAATTACATGGGTAAACGTGTACATTTTGGGGTGAGACACAAACTATCATGTATCACAACATACCGCCCGATACAATAAAAGTGGATCAAATTATTAAGTTCTGTGTTCCATCTCTTTCTCCGGTGATCTTATTGAAATGGCTACTAATATCCCTAACGAAATTTTGCAAGCTATATTTAAATTTGTTGATGCTAAAGAGGAACGTGATTATGGTACTTTATTTAATTGTGCTTTGGTCAACCGACAGTGGTGTAACAATGCGATTCCTATACTGTGGCAAGATCCCTTTTACGGAGAAAAAAGTGATAATGTGATAAAGACATTGTTGTCATTTCTTGATAATGATCAATTACAACAACTTGATTCAATTAGAAATAAAATACCTCTTATTGAAAATAAAAAGTTTGACTATCCCTCCTTTATTCGGCATTTAAATTTAAACTTTATCTGGGAATCTCTTTACGAGTTGTATTCACCCGCATCTCCAGAATCAGCTGATACCACTGATACCGCAGATTCGAAAAATACGCAGCCTTCTTCTAGCGATCAAAGCTTGACTAATGAAATTGAATTAACGTTTACAGTACTTTTGAAAATGCTAGCTCGAAAAATTACCAATGTGAGAAAATTTCATATTAACTTTAAGCTTCATTCTTGCACTCAGGATGAAGTTTCCAAAGGCGACATAAAAAACAATATTTTGAAACTTTTATTGCAACCGGAAATCAGTGATCTTTTAAGATTTACAACTGAATTACGTTGGTTTCAAACAAAGCCTTACAAAGGTTACTTTGTTGAACTTGCCGGGATCTGTTCAAATTTGGTATGCTCCAGAAATTTGTATTCATGTTTATTTTGAATGTATGTTAATATTTCTTTTACATGAACTAATTAAAATGATTTTTCTTATATAGGAAAAATTAATCATCAGTCTTGGCAATTTCGATGAAAGTCAAATTGACGATGCTACTGAATTTATTAGGTCACAAACGCATTTAAAAGAGTTGGAAATTTTTAATTGTAATTCTGGTATCCAAAAACTTATTACATTTTCACGAGATCAAGCGTTATCTATACAGACGCTTATTTTGTATCACGTAGATTTTTATGGATGTGGGCCATTAACTAGCTTAACCAAATGTGAAAATTTAAGGCACTTGTCTTTCCGTTATTGTACATATATTCAAAAAGAGATGTGTAGTCCTTTGTTTGCTGCTAATTTTCCTAAGCTTAAAAAGGTTGAAGCACCTTTCACTTCATGCCCAGTACTTGAAGAATGGGCTAAAAATTATTCCAAGTAATTAGGTGATTTTGATTCATTATATAGATTGTCAAATCAACTAACGTTTGTTAAATTTCTAGTTACATCATTCATATAGCTATTATTATTATTATTTTTTTATTTTTTATTTTTTATTTCTGTTTTTCTTTATAAAACTTCTTTTTTTAGTGGTAGTGTTAAGATTATTTCTTGACGATGTATATCTATTTTTGGGAACTAGATGCTTTTTAAACTCAAACGTATAATATAGTTTCTTATAAATAAGAAGTCAAATATATGTCATGTTTCTGTTTCTTATAAATAGGAAATCAATTCTATGCCATGTTTCTGTATTTCAGAATGCAAAATACATCATGATTAAGTTAACGTTATGTCTTTTATCAATTTGGCAATACTGATTTATGCCTTGTTCATGATTTGTTGACAAAGGAACAAGAAACAGCTCTCGATTATCTATGATATCAATGAAACAATTAAAAATTAAGTCCAGGAAAAATATTCTACTTCTGAAATACGCTTTAATTAAATTTGATGCAAAAAAGTTTAAATGATGCATCACTTCATTAGTCGGGTAACTTCTGATTTCTGGTTAGTCATCAACAATATGATGACGGCAATAAAAAGGTTTATTTACTATTAAGCCTCCAAAAATCGATACACATGATAGGCAGGTTCATATCAGTATATCAGATTTGAAAACATAAGTTAAATCTCTTACATTATGAAATTATGCTCTCGTGAGAACAAAATTATTTAATTTAATCTTGAAAATATTTTCATGTTCTCAACCAAAATAAAAATTTATTTATGTTCCCATTTTTCTAAATTTTTTTCGAAAAATATCAGTAATTTTATTTTTGTCCACCTTTTATGTTGTTCATTTTCTTTTTAGAATTTTTCGGAGCTTTTCTCAATTTCTAATTGTTAACTTTACCCAAGTAATTCAATCTTTATGCAATCCCTATAAGAAAAGTGATACGGGATGTGATACGTGGTGGTTTCGGTAATGCTAGTAGTGGCTCGGGTTTATGGTACTGTACGTATAGGTTCGATGTACGTTGTGGTACGTGCCCGAATGGCGCGTGATTGTACGATAGTGTTGCGTATAGGCTTGTTGAACGGCATGGTACGTATATTTAGTATATACAAGCTCATTTACGAAATGCTGAAATGATGATGAAATATGTACCGTTTTTGCAAACTATACTAGCAAATCTAAATTTATTTTGCATTTCTAATAGCTAAATTCATCTCGGGAATAAAATGTTTATATTTTAACTACAATTTGAATTTAGTCTAATTAGCCTTATCTATAACATAAAAGCATTTTCCAACTTTCAAAAATCCTACACATCTTTGTACCCTTGACACATCTACAAACTCATAATCACCAAATTCTTCAAAGCTACATAAGCCATATAATCCTTTTCATACATTTTTAACATTATGAATATATGCAAGTAGTTGATATTTTTCATGAAATACATAATGAAAATAAAAATGTACACAACCAAAAAATTGTTGTACTTCATATTTTTTGGTATTTTTTAGCTTAGAAACATTGATCTCAAGTTTATATTTTAGAAAAGTAATAAATTAATTAAATATATAAATGCAGTATATAAATAAATTATAATGTGTATATTATCAAAACAAGCTTACCATTATGCATGAATTATCACGGGCATTATCAGCTACTTTTGACATTAATGAACCAATCATATAACCTCCAATTGTATGAAATTTAGCATTTTTTTTTTTTTTTTTTTTTTTGGCTTAAGTAGTTACGTTAGTACTTTATTAAGATTCTTGAAACTAAATACATATATAATTACATAGAATTTCCCAATATCTAAGTCTAGCATCACTCAGTTACCCTAATAGTACCTAAGTGCAACCTGTTGCACTATCTCAGTTAGAGATAGACTGCTCATCTAACTACTTAAAGCCATACCAGAAGGGTCTTTCCCCTTCTGTGACAAGCATATTAATTGTCTTCCAAGCTTCTTTTTTTCTTTGACTTGTTTTTTCTATTTCTTCTTCCTTCTTTCCCTTCTTTTCTTTCCTTTTTCTTTTTGTTCTTTTTTTCTTTTTTTTTGCTATATTCTCTCCTATCCGAATACCTTTTTTCATTTTACTTGTTATATTAACTTTTTTTTCTCACTTTTGTATCTTTTCCTATTGGACTCATCATATTTGGTTGTAAAAGATATTCTATACTATTCTTGTTACTATATCAAGACACTTCTTTACTGCTTGTTTACTTAGCAACTTATTGAGTCTTTCCTTTATTTCTATTATTGTTAACCTTTTTATTAGCACCTTTCTGTTTAGAACTTCTTCTGCTTCTGTTTCTTCAAACAGTGCTTTGTATAATATTTGTGCTAGAATTCTGGTTTTTTCCTC